CCATCATGCCACCTGCCGGCCCCATAAGCACTTCAGAGAATAATCTGACACCCACCTAAACACTAGTTCACACTTATTTTTTTCATCCAGATCACATCTTCCAGCCTACCTGTTAGAAGAAAGACTTTAAAAGAAGATTTTACAAGAATCAAGTCAAAGCATTAAAAAAAAAAAAAAAGAATAAAATCTAAGAAGGAACCCATGAGTCCAAGATGCTAACTGTATAAGAACTCTGCTTCCTTCCCCACTCTCTCCTTTATAAAGAGCCTGGGCATTGGGCTGGTAGGTGGCACGGTGGTTAAGCAATTCCACATGGCTGATTGTGCAGTTTGAGTTCTGAACTGGCAGCTTGGAAAACACACTGGATGTGTGTATGTGTGTGCTCCAAATCCCAAGAGAAGAATGGAGGAGAAGGGACTGCAGTCCACAAGGGGTGCTTTCTCACTTTCTCCATCTAGTGAGCACATGTGCCCTATTACCAATTTTAAAATAGTGAATAGGGCCGGCAGATGGCATAGCAGTTAACATGCTGGACTCCCACATGGCCAGTGCAGTTTGAGTCCTGGACCTGGCAGCTTGAAAATCATGCCAGGAGCATGTACATGCATGCATGCATGCTTAAAGTCCCAAGAGGAGAGTGGAGGAAAAGGGACTGCAGTGTGGTCATGCCCCCTGGGGGGTGATTTCACACTGTGCTTCTCTCTGGTGAGTGCACGTGCATGTGCACTATAATAAACTCCCGACCAAAAAAGAAAAGGCACAAAGGACCTGGGTGCTTGCCTTTGGGGGCAACAAAAAACAAGGGCTGCTGGGCTGAGACAGGTACATTCCACTGATGGATGTGAGGATACCTGGAGGTTCACCTGGAGAGAGAAAGCCAGGGCCTGGAAGGAGTCTAAAAGATCCCTCATCTAATGAGCCAGAACTCCATATTTAATTAAAGAATTATCTTTTTCTAACCTTATTTATTTTTATTAAAATAAATAAATAAATAAATAAACAAACCATGGTTGGCATGTGAGAGTCTAGCGCCCTTAAACACCATGCCACCTGCCAGCCCCAGAACTCCGTAATTTCAAATCACTGGCACAAAGAAATGTTCTTCTTAGTTTCTTAATCTTATAGTAACAGTTACTGATGTAGTGTTTGCTCATCACCATATCCCCAACCTAATATCTGACATATACATTGGCACTCTTAGTCTTTCTCCACATAAATCTAAACATCATGAGATGTGGAACTTTCAACACTTCACCTCGAGCAACTACAACAGGCTGGCACCTGGCATACCCTCAATAAATGTTTACCAGGCCAGCCCCATGGCCTAGTGATTAAGAGAGTAAGATCCTACCACATGGTTCAAGTTCTAGACCTGGTGGCTTGAAAAACATACCAGACACGTGTGTGTGTGTGTGTGCCCCAAATCCTGACAGTATGAAGAAATAGAGAAGAGACTGTGGTGTGACTATGCCCAACTGGAAAGCGGTTTCTCTCTGTGTGTGTCTCACTCTGGTGAGTGCACATGCCCTCTGGCCAAAAAAAAAAAAGGGAAAAAAAGTTTACTGAGTAGAAACAAGAATGGATCTATATGTCTATTTGCATTACCTATTTACATTACCTCAATGAATAGCATGCACTTGTGGGAGAGAATGGAGACGAAGAAAACGAGAAATCACCCCCAGTGGGATGGTCACACTGCAATTTCTTCTCCATTCTCCTCTTGGGATCTTGGGCACTCACACACATGTGCTCGGCCTGAGTTGTAAGCTGCCAGGCCAAGGACTCACACTGCAGTTGACTACGTGGGAGTCCAGCGACGGACATAACCATTATGCCATCTGCTGGTACCAAACCTCTTATTCTTGAGATAGTAACAGTAAAGGTAGAATTTCTAACGGAACACCGAATTATTGTGAAAGCAAAGGTAGTAATATTGGAATACTCAGGAAAGAAACACTGGTACTGCTAATAAGGAAGAAACCCAATTCCCCAAAACCTCATCCTCGTGTAGGTAATTAAAATGGACAGAGATTGGACCAGCACTCTATAGAGCAGAATTAAGCATCATGCATGCATATAGAGCTGGATCATATGGTCGACCACAGTTTGAATACCAGCTCTGGCAGCTTGAGAACCATGCCAGGCTCATGTGTGTGTGTGTGCGCTCAAAGTCCTGATGGGATAGAGAACTAGAGGAAAAAAGATTATAAATTAAACATGCTCCATCGAGGAGTTTTTTTTCTCTCTCTCTGTCTCTTGTGAGTACAATTACTGTCTAGTAATTTAAAAAAAGAAAAAAAAAGATAGAGATTAAGTATCTCCCTGAACCCATATCCCAGAATGACATATTATAAGTATATTTTGAATACTGAACTTAATTCCCTGGAACAAGGATTCTTCTTAACTTAGGTCAAGGTCATGGGTAGGTTCAGGCCTGCTCATAGTGTTATATAAAGAGGGAGAGGAAGTATTCATGAGGCACATAGTTGACAAAGGACTAGTATCCAGACTATATTAAAAAAATACCCTCAACTTTAAAAAGCCAAACAATCTCATTAGAAAAGGGGCATTTAAAGCATGAACTGACAAGTCAATGAAGAAGATATACAGATGGCAAGTAAGAACATGAAGTTATCTAACATGATTAGCAATTAGATATATAATAAATTAAGACAAAATGATACATTATCAGAATGGCTGAAAATAAAAAAAGTGATTAACATCAAATGCTGGCAAGGAAGAACAGAAAATGCATCATTCATACACCATTAGTGGGAATTATAAAATGTTATAGTCACCCTGGAAAATATTTGGACAGTTTACTAAAAAACAAAAAAAACTGGGACCAGCATTTAGTGTAATGGCTAGTCGACTGCGGTTTGAGTCCCTGACCCGGTGGCTTAAACTCACGCCGTGTGTGTGTGTGTGTGTGTGTGTGTGTGTGTGTGTGTGTGTGCGTGCCCAAGATCCAGAGAGGAGAAAGGAGGAGAAGGGATTGCGCCATGGCTATCCCCCCAGGGGGTGATTTTTCGCTTTCTTTCTCTCTCTCTCTTTCTGGCGAGCGCACATACCCTATAGCAAACAACCTCTCAAACAAACAAATAAACAAACAAAAACCAAAAACAAAGCAGAAAAGTGAATGCAACTACCATATGACCTGGCAATTGTATTCCTGGGCATTTAGCCCCAAGAAATAAAAACTATGTCTGCACAAAGACCTGTACACTAATGTTTGCTGCAGCTTTATTTTTAATAGTCAGAAACTGGAATCTGCCTAGATGTCAGTGATCTAACTCACTGTGGTATAGCCATACCAGGTAATATTATTCAGCAATAAAAAGGAACAAACTATTGATGCACAAAGCAACCTGGATGAATTTCCATGGAATCATGCTGACTGAAGAAAGTTAATCATGAAAGGCTATATACTTCCATTTATGTAACATTTTGGAAATGACAAAATTTTATAGAAATGTAGAACATAATGGTTGCCAGGGACTAGAATGGGTGTGGGGTGGCAGGAGGAAGGCAGGGTAGGGTTAAGGAGGGAACACGGAGGATGTTTGTGGTGTAGGAACTATTCTGTATTTTGACCGTGATGGACACAGGAGTCCATGAAGGTATTAAAACTGTACAGAACTTGGGACCAGCAGATGGCATAATGGCTATGTTGCTGGACTCCCATGTAGTCGATCGCAGTTCAAGTCCCGGACCCGGTGGCTTAAACTCACTCTGGGTGCGTCGGCGTGTGTGCCCAAGGTCCCGAGAGGAGGACGGAGGAGAAGGGATTGCAGTGTGTTCATCCCCCCAGGGCGATGATTTCTTGCTTTTGGTCTCTCTGTCTGTCTCTGTCTTTCTGGCGAGTACACGCGCCCTATAGCAAAAACCTCTAAAAAACAAACAAAAAAACAACTGTATAGAACTTACACCTACATATAAATGAGTGTAAGAACAGGAGACATGGATGTCAATATGCTGGTGGTGATATTAAACATAGTTTTTGCAAGATGTTACCACTAGGAAAAACTGGCAAAGGGCACAGGGATCTGCATTATTTCTTACAAATGCATGTGAATCTACAATTATTTTTCATTTTTGCTTTTTTAATCTTAGTCATTCTGACGGGGGTTAGGTGGTATCTTATTGTGGTTTTCATTTTTTGCTTTTTTAATCTTAGTCATTCAATTATTTTAAAACCAAAAATCACTTAGTTTAAAACTATTATCTGTGAGGAGTCCAAAGCCTTCCATCATGGCCTCAGTGGAAGGCCTGAGTCTACTACTACTTATTCAGTGAGTATTATTTTACACATGTTAAGTACACACACAAAAGCTCTAATTCTGACAATAATCTTATAGCCAGGCATCATTTCTGTTTTGCAAAAATAAAAAATAAAAAGAAACCAGAGATGAAGTAATCTATCTGGAGTCACACACTCAGTGACTGAGCAAGATTAAGCCAAAGCTCATGACTCTTCTGCTATCCCACATTGCCTCTTACATGTAGGCAACTTGAATGTCATAAAATGACAAACTCAAGAAAATAAATCAAACCTACAAGGGCTGTTTCAGTTTTCTAGACAATCTTTATGACAGTAACTTAAATGATTTAAATGGCACTAAAAAAGGAGAAAATGATACTGGGTCATTAGGAAAATCATGATATATTTTTCTATGAAAAAATGAGTCACGATTTATCCGATGACCCAACAAAATATAACACATATGGTTAAGGTATTGTATATTTAAAAAGATAACCTGTAAAACAAGACTCTTGCTATGTATATATTTAAATGTATGCAAATTCACAGAAAAAGCTCTGGGAGAGCATCCACAGACTATTCCTAGTTGTCACCTGTGGGGAAGACAAGGTGGAAGAGGAGGACTGATCCTGGGGCACCTGGACTTCAACCTCAGGGTCTGAATTTAAGATGCATTCCAATTTAAATATAACTTGTCTATTCTTTTTTTAAGAAGGGGAAAAATAAAGCAAACACTTACTGCATTCATAGATCTGTTCCAGCTTATCCACAGAAGAAAGGGAGAAAAATTTATAACCGGACTTACTACCAACAGCTAGGGACCTGCAAAAAAGCCAAATTCAGAAATAAGAGCTGATACATGTACACAGCAATAATGAGAATGAACAAACTGCTTTCCATGTTACCAGTTAGTAACCACCATCTCTACCAAAAATTATTACAGATCAAATACCATCACACCAATTATACAGGCAAGTGGCAGAGGAAGATGCTACAAGGTCAATAAAACAAAGACAGATAACATTCTTATTTAAAACTAGTATCATTTTTCTGTAGACCTAAATAAAGTATAGCATGATGACTACAGTTAAAAATAATGTATACTTGAAATTTGTTCAGAGCAAATCTTTTAATTTTTTTCCCCGAACATTTACTTATTTATTTATGTATTTATTTCTTGTGATTTTCAAGTCACCTGGTCTAACACTCAAACTGTGGTTAGCCATGTGGGAATCCAGTGCCTTAACCATCATGCCACCTGCTGGTCCCAGGAGTAGATCTTAAGTGTTCTCACCACACACACACACACACAGACACACACACACACACACACACAAACACAAAGGTTAACTATATCAAATAACAGATATGTTAATTGGATTGACTGTGGTAATCACTTTACAATATATTTGTATATGGACACAGAGTCCACTGTGTGTATAAGAACAGACAATTTTTTCAATCATACCTCAAAATAAAGCTGGGGAATAATTAAAAATAAAAATACCCCCCCCCAAATATCCTTACGAAATTTAAAACATAAGTTTTAAATGAAAATAATCAGCCCTGCGATCAGCAATGGCGTAATGGCTATGTTGCTGGACTCCCATGTAGTCAACCATGGTTTGAATTCTGGACCCAGTAGGTTAAACTCACATCGGACGTGTGTGCGTGCATGCCTGAGATCCCGAGAGGAAAATGGAGAAGGGATTGTGGCATGGCCATCCCCCCCAGGGGTGATTTGTCGCTTTCTGTTTCTGTCTTTCTGGCAAGCGCACGCGCTCGCGCTCTGTAAAAAAAACCCCTAAAAAAAAAAAAAAAAAAAAGAAGAAGAAGAAAAAGAAAATAATCAGCCCTAAATTAGATTCTTGCAAAACAAAGTAGGGTTTCTCAGGTGGTTTGACATACATGCACAATATAAGCATTTAAAAATTAAGTAAGCAGGAACCAGCAGTTAGCGTAATGGCTATGTCGCTGGATTTCCACGTAGTCAACCGTGGTTTGCGACCCGGACCCAGTGGCTTAGAACTCACGCCGGGCGGGCGCGTGTGCGTGCGTGCCCAAGATCCCGAGAGGAGAATGGAGGAGAAGGGATTCGGCGTGACCATCCCCCTGGGGGGTGATTTCTCGCTTTCTGTCTCTATGTCTCTCTCTGTCTGTCTGGCGAGCGCACGCACCCTATAGCAAAAAAACTCTCCAAAAAAAAAAAAATTAAGTAAGCAAATAGCTCAAATTTTAAATAAAGTTGTTTGCAATTTTTGGATGAAGGGTTTTTTTTTGTTTTGTTTTGTTTTTTTTTTTTTTCATTTTGGTAAGGCCTTTAATAACTGTGGTTCAATCATTTGTTGTACCATGCCTGAGCAGTAGGGAGGAAACAAAATGGACCAAAAGCTATTTTAAAACCTAGAATTAGAAAACCATATCATTGGTTTAGAAGGAAAAAATAAAGGGTCCACTCTGATAGCCTCATGTTTAAGATTCCATACTCCTGACTCTGCTAAGAGGCTCAGAGGAACTTGAGAGTTCACCAAGCGTAGGGTGGCTGGTGACACTAAGTAAAGCAAGTCCTTACCAAAAGATTACGTTCTCCTGAACACCACCGACTAAGGAAAGTAGAAACAAGAAAGTATAGCTTTCATAGATAGAAAAGATGAGAAAATGAAGTAGGAAGTGATGGGATACTAGGATCACTTTTGTTTTTAGCCTCTAGGACATGACAAGAACTAGAATAAAGACAGACATTTTATGAGTATTTGTACCCCAAGATAAAATTGGGGCTATTGCAAAACACATGCCAACTATTAAAAATCTGAGATTTCCCACCACTCTTTCACCTACATGAGGAAGAAATACATCCCAAGAAGGGAGTTATTATAATCAATAATAATGTTTAAAATTGCTGTTACACACCATGTAATGACAGCCTGGTCAATGATGGACTGCATATATGATGGTGGTCCCATAGGAGCATATAGGCTATACCATACAGCCTAGGAATATAGTAGGTTATACCATTTAGGTTTGTGTAAGTACACTGTGTTTGCACAATGACAAAATTGCCTAATGATGCACTTCTTAGAACATATCCCTGTCATTAAGCGATGCATGACTATATATTAGTTTATCTGCTTATAAGTATTAAAAAAAAAGAAAGAAACTAAACTCCTTTACTAACTCATAAGCAAAGAGATTCCAAATATTTCTGAAATGTATACATAGTATAGAACAAGTATATAATTGACTCATTAAATACACTGAGGTTAGTGACCATTCCCCTAGTCCCACAAGTTCAAAACCTACACATAACTTTATTTTACTTAAAAAAATTTTAAAAGACATTTTTGCTCTAGAGCGCTGCCAGAGAGAGTGAGACAGAGACAGTAAGAGGGACACCCCCCAGAGGGGATGGCCACGCCACAGTTGCTTCTTCTCCATTCTCCATTCTCCTCCTAGGATCATGCGCACACACCTGGCATGAGTTTTAAGCCACCGGGTCCTGGACTTCAATCACAGTCAGCCATGTGGGAATCCAGAAATGTAACCATTATGCCATCTGCTGGCCCCTGCATATAACTTCTGATGCCCCCAAAACTTAACTAATATTACCTTACCAATGATATAATACTGATTAACACATTTGTTATATTACATTCTATATTCTTACAATAAAGTAAGCTAGAGAAAAAATGTTATTAAAAAATAAGAGAACACATTTACAGTATTATACTATATTTTCCAATACATTAAAAAAAAAAAAAAACATAAGTGGCCTCATACAGTTCAAACCTGTGTTGTTCAAGGGTCAAGAGTATACTTTAACATTATAAAAGCAGGCTTTTTAATTTTTTTTTCTTGAAGAGGTTTTTGCTATAGGGTGCAGGCGTTCGCCAGAAAGAGAAACACAGAGAGACAGAAAGTGAGAAATCACCCCCCCCAGGGGAGATGGTCACGCCGCAATCCCTTCTCCTCCATTCTCCTCTTGGGATCTTGGACACGTGTGCACACGTGCCCGGCGTGAGTTTAAGCCGCCGGGTCCGGGACTCCAACTGCAGCCGACTACATGGCAGTCTAGCGACATAGCCATTGCACTAACTGCTGATCCCAGGCTTTTTAATTTTTAAAAGTTTTTTGTTAGAAAGTACATGTGCTTGCCAGAGGAGAGAGACAGACAGAGAGGTGGAGTAGAGAAAGCACCTCCCACAGGGAATGGTCACACTGTAATCCCTTTTCCTCTTCTCCCTCCTTTTGAGATTTTGGGCACACACACATGGCTGGCGTATTTCTCAAGCCGCTGGGACTAGGACTCCAACCATGCAGTTGGCCGTGTGAGATCTGGTCTTAACCACAAACCCATGAAGCCAGTCCAAGAGTAGGGACTTTAAAAAGATATTAAATACAACTAGGTCTGATATTTTCATTTCTAACACCAACAATTAAGTTCACAAACTTCTCCTTAGAGATTCTGCTCTTAATAATTCTTCAGGAGGGACCAGCAGTTGGTATAATGGCTGTGTGGCTGGACTTCCATGTAGTCAACCATGGTTCGAGTCCTGGACCCGTGCGTGTGTGTGCGTGCCCAAGATTCCGAGAGGAGCATGGAGAAGGGATTGCGGTGTGGCCATCCCCCTGGGGGGTGATTTCTCACTTTCTGTCTCTCTGTCTTTCTGGCAAGCACACATGCCCTATTGCAAAAACCTCTCAAAATAAATAAATAAATAAAATAATTCTTTGGGATTAGCTTGAACCACCAGATGGCAGACATACTTATGTGAGAAGCAAACACCAGTTAAGTATGAGGTTTGCCCTAATAATCTTATCAGTAACTCTTTATGTGATTTTTAAAAGTTGGGACCAGCAGATGGCATAATGGCTGTCGCTGGACTGTGGTTCAAATCCCGGACCCAGTGGCTTAAACTCACCCCAGGCGTGTGTGTATGCATGCTCAAGGTCCTGAGAGGAGAAAGGAGAAGGGACTGCTGTGTGGCCATCCCCCTGGGAGGTGATTTCTCGCTTTCTGTCTTTCTGGCTAGTGCAGGTGCCCTATAGCAAAAACCTTTCCAGAAAAGCAAGCAAGCAAACAAAAGTTAACACAGTGAGACTTCCTGCTGATAAAAGAAAAAATAACAAATCATTAACAACAAAAAGAAAGAGATGCAACTACTTAATCCCCCTTTTATTGCTCTACTCCAACCTTCAACTGTGCTTGATATACAAACCCAGAGGACCTAGCCTGCCTGCTGCTAGGGAAGGAGAGCAAGGGACTGCTTCTTAAACACACCTAGAACCTCTTTATTTTAACCCCACCCTCCTATTCCAGTTCTAGAGCTGCCCTAGAGTGCCAATTTCTGAGCCTTTGGGGTATTATGCAATTTAGACTAGGTTGTGTTTTCTCCCAGAGCAACTTAAGACTCAGTTTCCTTTACCACTTGCTGGTTGCTAAATTTTGTTGCTTCAATATTGTTTCTTATTCTCCCCTGTTGCACGAGTTTAAGTCTTTCAAAAATACCTTATAGGGAACCAGCAGTAAGCGTTATGGCTATGTCGCTGGACTTCCACGTAGTCAACCGCGGTTCACGTCCCAGACCCGGTGGCTTGAAACTCATGCCAGGCGCGTGTGCGTGCGTGCCCAAGATCCCAGGAGGAGAATGGAGGAGAAGGGACTGTGGTGTGACCATCCTCCCTGGGGGGTGATTTCTTGCTTTCTGTCTCTATGTCTCTCTCTTTGTCTGTCTGGAGAGAGCACACGCCCTATAGCAAAAACCTCTCAAAAAAAAAAAAAAAAAAAAAATACCTTATATAGGCCCAGCTGCAGTAGCAGAAGTGAGAGAGTGGTGCTATACAAGGCTGGGACTGCAATAGAGGAGAATGAGTAAAAAGATTCAAGCAACAAAATTTAGACCAACCTAAATTGGCCAGGCATTCTGGCTGACTGGGCAGAGGACCACAAGGGCAAGACTCTATCAGAAATACCTCTCTCCCCCCGTCTTTGGGCATGTTCTGACTCTCATTAAAAAACAAACAAGCAGGTACCAGCAGATAGCATAATGGTTATGTCACTGGACTCCTGTGCAGTTGACTGTGGTTCAAGCCCAAGGCCCTGCGGCTTAAAACTCACCGGGTGCATGTGTATGCATGCCCAAAATCCTGAGAGGAAACTGGAGGAAAAGGGATGCAGTATGGCCATCCCCAATGGGGGATGATTTCTCACTTTCTGTCTCTCTATCGAGTGCCACACCCAATGTCAGAAAAGTCTCTCAGAGAAACAAAAATTTGACATATTATTAGGCTTTTAGGAAGGAGTCATAATGCATGCTTGTGTTTGATCCACCATCTTTAACTAAAGATCTTTGTCACTTAAACTTGATTATTCAATATTTAAAAAAAGAGTGATGTCCACTAAAGAAAGAAAATGTGAATCACATCTTTTTCTTATCTTTTATTAACCCTCCTCCCAATGACCAATCCATAAAAGCCTTCCCCTTTCCTTATCTTCTTCATAAAATAGCCATGCCTACTTATGAGGCTAAGTGGAAACAGTTCAACACTATAAAACCAGAAGCAATCTCAACTGTTGCTGCAGGATGAAAACTGGTAGACTCTGGCACCTTTCTTAGGACCACAGCTGCTTGAAGTTTATCACCAGGATACACACCCCCCCACCCCCAACTCATATTCTCTCCACCTTAGACCTCTACTCGGATATTCATAAGGCCTTCTAAAACACACTAGTATCCAAAACAGAGTTCACCTTTCCTCCAAACCAAATCCTTCATTATTTTTTTTCTTCCATGATGTTATCACTGTTCACCCTGAACCCAAGCCAGAAACTGAGAGTCATCTAACTTCTTCCTTGACTGCATCATGCATGTCCCGTGGGTCACATATGTCCTGATGGCTAATCCTTCCCATTTGCTACTGCTACTGACAATATCCCAAGTGATCCCCTGCCCTCAACATAGCCTCAGCATAGAAGGAAGAATGGTCTAAAACATTAAAGTTCAGGGATCCTTGAAAACCATCTTCAAATTACAAATGAGAAAAGACAGGAGCCAGTTCCTTCCCAGAACAGTAACTGTGACCTATAGAAATGCAATGAGAGTAGCCAATCCCTCCAGAAAGATTGTCCTTGTTGTCTCCACATCTTTTGTAATATCAATTCTACAAATAGGAAGAGATTTCGAAAAGTTCGTGTAAAAATAAAGTACTATTTTATTTTGGTGCAAAAAATCCTTTTGAAATACATGCGCAATTTTTTCACAACATACATTTTACATGAACTTTTTTGAAGACTCCTCTGCCTTCGATCTTATAAAAACTTGAAAAGTCAAACCCATTTCTTTATTCTAGCCTTCTTACACATGTCATTTAACACAGGCACTGCCATATAACTAACTTCCCACAAGCTATGGTATCCACTGGAAAAATTTAGTCCCTGATATTTCCATTTAAGATTCAAGCAATCCTCTGCCACTTATTAATTGGTTAGCTTCAACTTCAAAAGCCTAAAACTCCTCCAATATAAACCTTCCACAGTGTTACTTTCAGAATTCAGGATTAGAACAAACCATTCAACAGTGAGATGACTGAGACCAACTGTTCTCAAGCCTTTCTTACTGCTCTTGTCAAAAACAAAACAGGGGCCAGCAGATGGCATGGTGGCTAAGAGCACTGGAGTCCCACATGGCTGACCATGGTTTGAGTCCTGGAACTGGTGGCTTGCTTTCTCACTTTCTCTTTCTTTGCCTCTCTCTGGTAAAATTAAAAATAAATAAATACAGTTAAATAAAAAAATTCTTTAACCCCCCCTCCCCCCAAAAAAAATGGTAAAAAGCAAGTAAAATTTAATTGCACTTTTAGGGTAAGTATCTTGAAAAAAAAAAATTCCACCACATTTGTAATCAGATTACCAGTACAAGAAGAAAAGCAGGACAGTTCAATAGTTTGGGATGTCATAAATACTGAGTTATTAAGAATTTAAAAGACAAAAAACCCACATGGAATTACAATATAACATACACTCTCTTAAGTGAAATGTCTTTCAACTCTTCACAATAAATACAGTAAATGTAGATACTAGACCAACATTCTTTATCTTAAAAATTGTGTTCCTCTATTGAAGTAAATTCTGCAGATCAGAAAAAGAGGGAAAGACATAACCATATAGCCTTCTCCAGG